TATATATATATAATGTTCTGCTCTCTCTGCTTTTTCTCAGAGTAGCTTTGCTTCGTCTGTTCCTGTTTCGCTGTGACACCATCCTGGAGAGAAATATCAGATGTGCTGCTTCCATTAACACCCTTGTATATAGATGTTGGAGATCGGCCTGTTTTCCAGTGTAGTCCTGTTTCTCTGACCGTGACTGGCTGGATGTGCTCTCTTCATCCTCTGAAATTAGAGCTGGCTCGGAGCTCGTTGGTCTGGCTGTGTTTTTCCTGGACGGGGCCGCCTTTTACAGTTGCTTTTTGTATCTCTGCTTCTGTCTCGTTGAACCCCAGTCGACCTCAGCAGATGGGCGCTCACACTTCCTGTTAAAACTGAGTTTTCCTCTCCACTGTCGCTACAAGCATGCTTAGTGTGAGGGATTGTATTTGAGTCAATGATTCGATGCAATCAACTGGTTTTCCTTAGATAAAAAACTTTGAATCAATTTGACTGGATGATCTGGTGAATTGTAAAGTGCTTTAAAATGACATGTGTTGTGAATTGGCGCTATAGAAATAAACTGAATTGAATATATTAAACACAACAAACTCCTTCGACAGGCTGAAGCCATGTCCCGAATTCCTCGTTTTCCACCCACTTTGGTTGAAATTTGCATTTTCCCATTCACTAGCTTTTTCTCCGCCTCGAGCTTCTTTTCCGAACATACAGCTTTACGATCAACTGTAAGCAGTTCTGCACAGACACGTGGAACTAATTATATCTGATATATCTGACGAAATTGTTTTATAAATTTTTTTTTTAAATAAAGCATTTTGAATGCCACGATAATCACATTTAATGAACTTTAATGCCAATTAAGGCCTTAATTTAAAAATACAATAATTTAAATAATTTAATGATTTTTAAAAATGTAGGTTTTAGGCTTATTTTGTTTTTGTTTTGTTTTTTGGCCAAAAAGAAGAATTCAAATATGTACTGAAAATGATTTATCTTGCATCAAAATTTCTTTTTGACTTTATCCATTGAATTCTACAAAAATAAACACAACGTTTTCTTTGTTTTTCTTTTACAGATCTTCACCCCGGATATTATGAGCACTGAAGAAGGTCTGAATGCAGCGGTCAGGTAGTGTTGAGTAGGACATATGGAAGGTTGGTCAACAGTCATGCAGGAAGGGTTAAAAGTAAAGCTGAGTGCTGTGATTAGGGAGAGGAGTCGATAATTGTGGCTGAGAGTTGGCTGTTGAGTGTAAGAGCTGGTAGTTATGGCTGAGAGGAGGACCATAATGGATGTTGGACTGTGGCAGATTTGGACGGCAATGAACAGTTACAATTACAGGGGATTTTCCAGACGTTTTTAAATCAACTCCACACAGACAGGACAAGTGTTTTGACAGCAAAGCATTTTTAATGTTTTCCTTTTATCACTGAGAGTTTCAAAGCGTTGTGAGACAGAAGGTTCAGGCTGTCAGCTTTAATCAAGGGAGGACCATTATCAAAGGAACAGTTCAAATATAAACTGCATATTTCAATACACTCCTTAGTGTTTCATTTGGCCCCTAATACTGCTGAATACAGATAGGAAATGTTTTTAAAATTCTGCACAATACGATGAACTTGTCTCTGCTTTTCCTCCCATTCTGAACCTTAATGCAGGATCAGACTAGACAGTTAAGAGCAGCCAGACAAAGAGAAACAGGAGGCGGGAAAACACAACTGAGGGTCTGGTAACAAAGAGGAGCAGTGCGTCACTTGT